CTGGCCTTACTAGCAAGCAGGATAGACTTAGACAGCACCGGCCTTAACAAACTCGTGGCCGATTTGAATCATTTTGGTGTGTCCCCCTTGATTTACGCACGGGGCATCATGTGAGCACGGCATTTGGAAATAAATTTTTAAACAAGTTTTTCATATGATATTGAACTCAAAGGTTTCTTTTATCGCTTTAGAATTACTTTCTATCGATATTTCTGAAAATTGCAAACACGCGGAGATCCTGTGAGTGCGGGGCCCGGTGTCAAATCGGTGTGGATAGAAGTCCCTGTATTTAGGACTTACTAGGAATGTTCATAACTGTCAGCCTTACTAGCAAGTCTTACAATAGCAAGTCAGAGAGAGAGAGAGAGAGAGAGAGAGAGAGAGAGAGAGAGAGAGAGAGAGAGAGAGAGAGAGAGAGAGAGAGAGAGAGATTGGTTAGAGAAGTTTTATTCGTCGCCACTAAGGTTTGAAACTGGGTTCGCGGTATACGACACCAATCGCCCTGTCTACATCAACCCCCCCATACCTCATCGATCAAGCATACATCTCAAATGAGGATGTAAAGTTCAGTTGTCGCAATCACAATCGCCTGCCTACCCAGTGCTTAAACTCTCATCATCATTTTCTATCTGTCCATTTAATATACCTAGTACCAAAACTAGAACGTATGTTGAAAAGGAAAGGGAAATTATCAGATTATAGCTGCAAATATAACTGTTGAAAACAGAAACGAATATACTGATTTGTTTTGTCTGACCAACACCCTTGGCAAAATGTTTGCATAGAATAAAAAATACAAATCAGTAATTTTGATAACGATTTTATCAGCTGATGAAATATGTTACAAAAGTATAGAATGTGGGGAAGTCTTCAACGGTAGCGTACTAACGAGGTGGCGGACTGGCGCTTGCCCCAGGCGTTAAAGGTCCTAAGGCGTCAAAACCAAGGGCAGCAAAGGTCTAGGTGCGTCATAACCCCTTTGGGCCATCATCGTCGTCCTGGACGCCATTTACCATTATAACGCCACTGGTCTTCAAGAGTAAAAAACCCAAAACATATGTTGATATGAAACTAAGATTTTAAATATCTTAAATCTCTTTCCAGGAGAAACGTTATTGTCAATATTTTAGTGTTAATTTGCAGAAATGTCATAATATTTTTAAACATCTCACGGTGGATTTTTTGTATTAGAATTATCAGAATAGATAATTTGCACGTTTTATTACTTCAAGTTGAAAAACACATACGGTTATAAAAAGATTCTACCCAGGATTTACACAGATGGAAGAATGTCTATGTTAAGACGAAAAACTAACAGCAATGTGAAAGGCAACATCAAGATCTATAACACTATTCGTCACATAAACAACAACTTATTTGGTATCCTTCACATGAAAACGAAAGTTTCTGGACTGTCTAAGGGTGAGTTAAGCTGTATCTGATTAAGAACGTTTGTGGATTAAGTTCACGTCTTTAATCATTCAAGACAGAATAAAGAGATGACAGGAATAGTCACAAAAGGAATGCCAATCAATTCACGACTTTTTAGAAGAATTCATAATTGGAACCGTACAAACATTGGTCATTGAATGACAAGAAAAACGTAAGGAAATGAATGTATTCTGATTGTGTAAAGATGAGATGAAGATGAAGGGAGTTGTTTTACTTATATTGACCGCGTGTTGTTTGCTTTACAACTTAAAAACATCAGCTAAAGGGTACGTAACCACACTATAGCAAAGCGAAATCAGTAAACTCATGCATATATTTTTTCTTTGCTTCGCTTCACAATATCTACAAATCTTTCTTCCACAGTAACATTTTGTTCAGTACTTTCCATTACTATTTTGTCCTGTAGAAAACGATGAAATCCATCGTATTCTTTCCAAAATCTTTCATTATAGATTTACATATTTTACATAATCAACTAGACAGATATGAAGAAGAATACTGCTTACAGTTTTACGTTGCACAATTGCCAAAGATAAACAACCTGTTTTGGACCTTCAAGTACATCATTCAGTAAAATAGGTACTTCTCAAATTTATCCATCGCTCCAGTGGCACCAGGGTTAGAGCGTCCACCTGGGATGCGGGAGGTCGAGGGTTCAAACCCCAGAAGAGTCATACAAAAGACTTATACAAATTGTACTAACAGCTGCCTCGCTTGGCGTTCAGCATTAAGAGGTTAGTGATTTGTTGTAAGTATGATTTTTAACTAACTTTAACAATTTTTCAGTCATATCGCTACGATGTCTGCAGTGTGTGATAGTGATGCCCATCACTGTGGCATCATGCCGCAGACATGTATCATGATGTTCCACCCAGTCACATTATCCTGACACCAGGCCAACCAGTCCTAACACTAACCTCTTAATGTTGAGCGTCAAGCAATAGCTCTTAGTACCAGTTTTATAAGTCTTTGGTATGACTCGACCGCGGATAGATCCCACGACCTCCCGCATCCGAGGTAAGATGTAAGTGTTAGGACTGGTCGTCCTGGTGTCAGGATAATTTGACTGGATGGACCTCATTTTTTATGTCTGCGGCATGAAGTTCCAATGATAGGCATCACCATAAACTGCCACACTGCATACCTTGTAGTGATATGACTTAAAAATCCAAATCCAGAGCGTGCGCGCGAGCCCTCTCCACTTTCGCCTTTTACAGTTTGAAATAATCAAATCTTAGTGCAAATCTCCCTAGTCATAACAGTTTACTGACAATGTACTAGAAAATAGTTTGTGTTCAATCGGAATCAGATATAGAGCAAACCTAGATTTTTCCACAATTGGTCACACCGCAAACTGTCACGCTATGAGATTCCTGTAGAAACAGGTATTGCGCTGTAAGCGTCCGGTACCATCGTACCATCTTTGCCACCTTTGTCTAAGTGTTTCCAAGAAACCTCACACTATCCCTCTGGCACAAAAAAATTCAGCAATTTATTTTAAATTTTCGGTTAATATTATAGGGAATTTAATTGTTTCTGGAAGTTTATATAACTGTCTGTTACTTAGTTTAAGACCATGGTCATAACAATATGTAAAAGTCCGTGATCAGAATGTCGCTTCCACTGGCCTGCAGTTTCTTGCATGAATATCTTTCATGTTAAAGCAATGAAAAAATTAGATGAGCATTTTCAAATTGCGTGTAGAAAATGAAACTAAACAAAATTAAGAAACCAAATAATTCTTTGAACGTGCTTAGTTAGATACTTATAATAAAATTTTAACTATATTTTCTATTGCACTGGACAAACTTGACTTCAAGCTTTTGAGGATAAATTTCAACGCAGAAATTCATCATTCAGAATTAATAAACAACCAATAAAAGTTACAGGATGTATATAAATAACATCCACTCGAATATGACCAAAGTTTATTCTTGTAGTTGTGCAAAAGGAATTTGCATCTGAATCGTTGCAAACATGGCGTCATAGACTGGTCTCTGCCTTTTGCATTGATACTATAATTAGTAATTGTCAGTGGAGTGGTTTACCTCCTCTTTTTAAGCTTCTGAACTTTTAAACTCTTTTTCAAATGCAGACCCCAGAAGTGGAGGGAGGGGAATGTGGGCGCCCAAGTTGATTCTGTAAGCCATTGCTTTCTTTAACGTGAGAGTAGATGTAATAATCTATTCCACTTGGAAATGTGTTCTCGTTTCACAGTATGAAAATAATGTGCGGTTAACGTGCATATATGTGCCTCAAATTGTATAGCTATCTTACATATGATGGCATAAATAATATTTTATTTCTTAACTTAACGTGATAACAATAAACCTGCTCTCTCTCTCTCTCTCTCTCTCTCTCTCTCTCTCTCTCTCTCTCTCTCTCTCTCTCTCTCTCTCTCTCTCTCTCTCTCTCTCTCTCTCTCTCTCTCGAGTGTGAGGCCAAAAAAGATGATGTTATAAAAGTTTGAAGAAAACAACTTTCTAAACGATTTGCCAGTTATCATTTAAAATATAAAGTTAGGATATAGAGGAAGGTTTTGTTATGTTTAACTAGCTAAATGATGTTTTGTTTTTATGTTGTGACTGTGTCCCGTTTAAAAGCCTATATCTCAAGATTGATGATGTTAACATGTAAATAAATGCTCATTTTGACGTGTGCTATCACTTATTTTATTTAATAGTGTAGATGATGACTTTATTTCATGGTTAGCCCTGGGCTTTATTGTTTACATGGGGGGATGACTGTGTGTCCCAGCTTATTTCATTTTTATATTGTGATTGACTAAATATATATTCCTGCTATTGATGACTAAATATATGTTCCTGCTAAATAACATTTACATTGATGATGTCCACTATCAATTGTTACAATAGGTATTGCACTTGAATATTGGTTTCATTTTCCTTAGATATACTTTACATAGAGTTCGTTATGTTTTCACATATACATTGTTTAATTTGGAGTTGAATATGTACCTTACAATGGGATTGTGTTTTACATTGAGATTAACTGTGTTCACCCACCTATATTTATGTACAAGGGGGTTTACGGTGCACCCATTCTTATTTTATGTTGAAATTGTGTTCTCACTTAACATCCATTGCATTAATATTTTTCGTGTCCATTCACATACATAGTCTATTTACCTACATTTTGTGAATTGATTTCTTATGTTGTTTATATGTATGTCACTAAACACCGCAAGTCAACACAAAATATTCGGAGGTGATATATACCACACTAAACATGTGATGCACGTGCTCCACGTTTTTATTTCACGCTCCACGTTTTTATTTCACATCATGGCTGCCTTTTTGCCTCCATTTAACATAATTTATATCCCGAAAAATGATATACGCCTGACTAGATTGTTTACATTGTGGTTGACCATATGCCCTCACCTGTATTGAATACATCGGAGCTGGCAGGTTCCACATTATTTGTTTACATTGGGGTTGACTGTGTTATTCTATCTGCATTGTTTACATTTTGATTGACTAGGTTCCCGCTTATACTGTTTAAAATTGGGTTCACTATATCCTTGCTTACTCATTGTTTACAAAGAGGTTGAGCGTCCGCCTCGGATGCGGGAGGTCGTGGGTTCGAACCACGGCTGAGTCATACCAAAGACTTATAAAAATGGTACTGACAGCTGCCTCGCTTGGCACTCAGCATCAAGATGTTAGTGTTAGGCCTGGTTGGCTTGGTGTCAGGATAATGTGATAGGGTGGGACATCATGCCACATGTCTGCGGCATGATGCCCCAGTGCTAGACATCACTATAAATTGTTACACTGCAGACATCGCAGCGATGTGACTGAAAAATTGTTAGATCAAAGTTAAAAATTCTAAATCACACACACACACACACACACACAAAGTGGTTGATTATGTACATTAACTGATATTGTATGAACTGTTATTGAATATACATCCATATACGTGTGCCCCCCCCCCTCCAACGGAAGTTGGATTCATGTATAAGTATTTTTTTGTTGAATTTTTAACGTAGTTTTAAAATGTTTTCAGTAATTTTACTACGATGTCTTCAGTGTGGCAGCTAATAGTGATGTTTAGCATTGGGGCACCATGCCGCAGACATGCAGCATAATGTCCCACCCATACACATTATTTTGACACACTAACCTCTTAATGCTGAGCGCCAAAAGAGGCAGCTGTTAGTACCATTTTTTAAAGTATTTGGCATAACTCGGCCGGGGGTTGAACCAACGACCTCCAGCATCCGAGGAGGACGCTCTAACCACTAGACCAACTGAGCGATCAAGTTGGATTCAGAGTGTGCCCCAACTTACATTCTTTGCATTGGGCTTACTGTGTGTTCCCATTTATTTTGTTTACATTGGGTTGATGGCTACGTATGGGGCTAACTAGTAAATTATAATATAGTAAGTTTGTATCACGCAAAGAGATATTTTTATTTGAATTTCACAATTAATAGCTTCATTTTGATATAAAATTGGTTGTACGACAAGACGTGACTTTATTTTAGTATAACGTTGAATGTATGCCAGGGCATGGTAGATATTTAACAATATTCACAGAATAGTGACTCTGTTTCCATGGACACTTTGCAGTCGTCTGTTCAAACTGACTGTTCTTCCTACATATAAATGTACATCCGAGGCGTAAAGTGAATTGCTTTACCTTATCCATGTCAAGCTACTAAAATTGCATTCCCTTCTTATGTCTTGGCTTAGCCATGTCACTTTGCTTTATTGCATTCCCTTCTTATAATTTTCCTTAGCCATGTCCTTGCCTTGTGTATTTCTAACCTATGACTTTCCATTAGCCATGTCACCTTGCATTGTGCATTGCCTTCTTATGCCTTGCCTTAGCCATGTCACCTTGCCTTGTGCATTCTCTTATGCATTGTATTGTGCTTTCTATTGTTATGCCTTGCTCTAGCTATGTCAATTTGCCTTGTGCATTCCCATTGTATGCCATGCCTTAGTCATGTCACCTAGCCTTGTGCATCCCCATCGTATGCCATGTCTTAGCAATGCCACCTAGCCTTGTGCATTCCCATCGTATGCCATGATTTAGCCATGCCACCTAGCCTTGTGCATTGTCATCGAATGCCATGTTTTAGCCATGCCACCTTGCCTTGTGCATTCCCATCTTATTCCTTAACTTAGCCATATCACGTTTCCTTTTGGATTCTCTTATGCACTGCCTTAAGCATATCACGTTGCCTTGTGCATTACCATCTTATGCCATACATTAGACGTATCAACTTGCTGTGTGTGTTTTCTTATTCATTGCCTTAGCCATGTCACCTTGCCTTGTGCATTGCCATCTTATGCACTGCCTTAAGCATATCACGTTGCCTTGTGCATTACCATCTTATGCCATACATTAGACGTATCAACTTGCTGTGTGTGTTTTCTTATTCATTGCCTTAGCCATGTCACCTTGCCTTGTGCATTGCCATCTTATGCACTGCCTTAAGCATATCACGTTGCCTTGTGCATTACCATCTTATGCCATACATTAGACGTATCAACTTGCTGTGTGTGTTTTCTTATTCATTGCCTTAGCCATGTCACCTTGCCTTGTGCTAGCCATGTCACCTTGCCTTGTGCATTGCCATCTTATGTACTGCTTTAAGCATGTCACCTTGCCTTGTGAATTACCATCTTATGCCATATATTAGACGTATCAACTTGCTGTGTTTTTTCTTATGCATTGCCTTAGCCATGTCACCTTGCCTTGTGCATTGCCATCTGATGCCTTGCCTTAGGCATATCATTTTGTATTGTGGATTCTCTTATGCATTACTTTAGCCAAATCACCCCTTGTATTGTGCATTTGTTTCTTATGCCTTGCCTCAGGCTTTGTGTTTTCCATTCTTATACGTTGTATTAGACATATCACCTTGTCTTGTATTTTCCATTCTTATGTCTTGCCTCGTGGGTGCATTGAAATCTATAAATATTTGTTATATATAACTAATAATATTTATATTTTTTAAATTCACGGTACATTATAATATTTGTGCTGTAAGAAATAAAGTAACTTTTTCCTCCCCCGTTTTAGTCCTATTTTGATTGAATCTGGACACGTGATGGATTCTTTTCTTAAAGTGTAATTTTTCTTAATACAATTGCTTTATCTGGATATATTTACTCTGATGATTGTATAATAAGTATACTTAAAAATGCCTGTATAATAAGTTTAGTTTAAAATGCCTATTTCTTTGGTAGATAAAAACTCAAAAGTAAATGCCACTGTGCATGACAGAAGAAAACCGATTGAAATACAATAACTAGAGCCCTTTATCTACAGACACCAAACTTTGACACGTTTAACAAGAACTCTATTTATTTTGTTAGTCAAAAGGTCAAGGTCCTAGCAAATGATATAACCTAACTGGTTTCTACAACACAGCATTATTTAAGACATACCGCAAAAGCAGTTTGTGGATGGCTTGAACGTGAGGTAAGTAATAAAGCTGTTGATTTTAAGGTCAAAGGTCAATAACTGACTATTAGAAGAAAATGGTTTCTACATAATAATAGTCGTTAAGTATCACATACAGAGATCTGTGACTAGTAGAATGAACATGACTCAAATATGTCATCTGCAGGTACAACACGTTGTCCGTTGCTTGCACTAGATAAAAAAAAATAAACAAGTTTTAAGTTTGGAGTCAAAAGATGAAATGTCAAGGTCATTGTGCTATAAGACCCCCCACACACACACACTTCTTGAGTTCAAAGACAAAACGTTGTAGGCGAATGGCAATTAAGATGAGAAATAAGCTGGTTAATCCTGGAATAAATTCAACCTCAATCTGAAGAAAACAAGACATGCTTTATGCGAAAAAAAATTTATCTACATATAGTACCGGATTTACCATTGTGCTTAGGTGTGCTTAAGCACATGGCCCCTGTTGACCGGGGGGGGGGGCAGCTTTGGCAATATCTTCTTCAGGGCATAAGTTAGGAGCCTCATAACTAACTAGCACAGAGCTTCATTTGTCATTAAATCCGGCACTGTCTTCACAGAGATCACCAAACAGGGGGCGAGCACTTAATCTAATAGCATTATTCGTGTTTATTTTTTTTTTGTCCATGATTAGAATCATTATGGTAAACATATCACGTGCCTCTTCGGGAGGGGTGGTTTTGTTGGGGTGGAGGCAGCGCATTCTCTATGTTGGCGAGAGCTGGACTCTTCTCGACACTCAGAGATTGTCTGGTATTGACTAATTGGTCCCATATCTGTATTTTTCTCAGGAACGCCATGCGGCTTTTTACACCTATCTACATGTGACTAAAAACTCAGTACTACTATTATCTTGGGTGCAGGAAAATGATTAATTTCCTGCGTATGTTAAAAATTGTGATACAATCGTCTCAATTTGCAAGTAAAATCACTTGTACATTGCCATGTACATGTTAATGAATTTGTTAATGCTAATAATGTGATATCTTAGTCCAGATCATAATTGCCAATTACAGGGAACCCTCATGTACATCTGTTAGATGAATGAATCTGTTCTGGATGATATATTTAAGTTTGATCAACTTTGGGTAACTTTCCTAAGCAACCCTTTAGTTGTATGGGTAGTACTCTCCTCTTGGGGGGTCTTAGCCTTCTTTTGGATCCAGCTGTTCGAGATTACAAAGAGATATTTGGGATTCCAAATTCATTGCTTGCCATTAACAGTATTCAAGCCTGAAAGTGCTTGCAAAATGTTAGTTTAAATGTTCATGTACATTTTATTAGTACTGCGCTTTTCTGATCATAAATTATGGTATAAATGGCAAGAGAGTCGTGGATAAAATTATAGTCCGTTACGATTCTGTGGTTCTTCACCAACTTTGTCATTTTTCACTGCCATTTCTGTGCACATATGACTTCGATCTTGTTCATTGGTCGTTACCGTCGTCACTATATTTATCTCGTTTAATTCTCTGACAGTCATTTACGTGGTACTTTATAAGGTCCATCGCGATCACTTTCGTCCGTCTCAGCAATTTTCGTTCTTCTTGGAAATTAGTTTTCTTTTCTTTTCGTTTGTGTCAGTCATTTGTGCCTGGGTCATTTCATTATTTCCATCCTTGATATATATATATATATATATATATATATATATATATATATATATATATATATATATATATATATATATATATATATATATATATATATATATATATATATATATATATATATATATATATATATATGCTAATTTAGCAATTTCGAATACCAATTTTCTTGAATAAAGTAACCAGTTACGTATTCCCGATTCAACCATTTTTACGTACATTTGGCTTCTGATTCCATACTCACTTCCAGTTGGCGAGTCATTCATTATTCCCAGTTCAATAGGTAATCGGTTATAACTTACTTATTGCCTATTGAAAGCTCTTTGGGGTCTAGCATTGGTGTTATTCTAACCCTGTTGGAGAAATATGTGTTCTTTTGGTACCAGCCACATAAAGCTGAATGGAGACAAATCACGGATTATGTGTAGGAAGGGGTTAGGATATTTGTTGGTATACATATTTAGTAATTTGATATACGATGTTAGTTTTGTTAAGCTTTTAGGTCGTATCTTGTAGTGCATAGCGTAAGTATTAGTATTTAGAT